AGGAGGATAGGGAATCACAGATGTCTCTTTCCAGTATAGACTTGCACTCAAAGGTACAGGGATCTTAGCGAGCGTTGCTGGAAGCCAATATGAAAAAGCCCTGCGGCTTTTGCTTCTCTCCAGCCCGAGAACATCATGCTGCTGGACAAGAACGTGCCAAACCCCCGCATCAAACTCATCGACTTCGGCATTGCTCACAAGATCGAAGCGGGGACTGAGTTCAAAAACATCTTTGGGACCCCGGAGTTTGTAGGTAAGAGGGAAGTGGGGCGGTGGCAGCTGTGTGTCCTGGAGGCTTGTTTGAATCTGGGAAAGATGCCCTGTGACTTTGCAGTGAAGGAGAGCTGGGGGAGGGTGGAAGCCGTATTCCTGCATGGTGCCCCTGTGTATCAGAGCCCACAACAGCCTCCCTTCGCTCTATCAGTTGTGTATCCAGGACCTCCCTGAGTCTGAGGAAGCCGCCAGTGCAGCCCTGGACTGGGTGAGATTTGGGTACCCTTGCTACAACTCTTCGACGCCCCCAGGAGAAAAGTATCCCCAAAGCTCTGGCTAAGTCCAGTTGCGTGAGGGTTTGAGTCGTTGCACGAGATGCCCAATGCTGCTTGCAATGGATTCTCCCTGCAGCATAACTCAAACTCTCTCTCTCTCTCTCTCCTTCTAAAGCCCCTGAAATAGTGAACTACGAGCCCCTGGGGCTGGAGGCTGACATGTGGTGAGTATGCCATGACTCTCCATCATAACCACAGGCCCGTTGTAGAACAGCTGCTGATGTGGGTGGTTTCGGCCCAGTTCTTAGTGGGCAGGTGTTTGCACCCTCTCTGTGGTAGACACCAGCTGGCAGCTTCCTGATAAAGGCCAAGAATTAAATGCACCTGGGGACTGAACTGTCGTCTTGTTTCTGGAGCGGAGTCCCTCTAAGCCAGGGTTGAGGGGTGCTGGGCTGGTTGGACAATGTGAGGGAAGTGGCCCATACCAGCTGATACGCTAGCCAGCGTACCCATGTGCTATCTTGGCCCATACACTAGCTTGCAGTGCTAATATGCATGTGGCACGTTCTTGTAGGTAAATGGGTTGCTTCGGTCTGCGGGGCTGTCCGCCTGGCACTGGCAATCAGCCCGGGAGGAGGGAATTCTGCGTCCGTGGGGCTTGTTTCTGTCCCTTGGTTGTCTCCGGTAGGCAGGCAGTGTTCTGGCTGGGGTCTGCTGACCCCCTTGCTGTCTGCTCAGTGTCATAGAATCATAGAATCTCAGGGTTGGAAGGGCCCTCAGGAGGTCATCTAGTCCAACCCCCTGCTCAAAGCAGGACCAACCCCAACTAAATCATCCCAGCCAAGGCTTTGTCAAGCCTGACCATCTAATTCCCTCCTCTTATATCTTTTTGTCCCTCACTCCTGTTCCTGTGTTTCATCTGTTGTCCCAGGTCGATTCCTGGTTCTGTGGTACCCCTCTCGCTGAAGGGGGCAGGCCTTTAATTCCTGGTGGGCCCCAGCAATCTGACTTTCAGACAGGCTGGTCTCTTTGAATGCTGCTAAATCTAGCTCTGGGGTGGGGGGGTGTTGGGTATGGGGGCCAGGGCTCGGGATACGCCTGTAATCGCTGAAGGCTGAGTGGGATTTGGATGACTTGCACATCCTGGAAGCTTCTAATGAAATAACCCAACCCGGGATTCCCTGACCTGAGCTTTGATCCTTAACTCGGGCAGCTCCGAGACGTGAACAGGGAACCTTGTCCTAGACCTAGAAAGCATCTGTGCTCGGGGAAAGCTGGCTGCAGGGTGGACCGATCTGTCACGAACATGTGCCCTCCGCTGGAAAATCTAAAAGACTTAAGGCTGGAGTGAGGAAAGACCTGACTAAAAACTGATCTACAATGCAGTGATCTTATGTCCTCTCCTTCTCTCCTAGGAGCATCGGGGTCATCACATACATTCTGTGAGTATAAGGACAATTATTCTTCTCCCTGGATAAGAATATGTTCTTCTGTGCTTGAGGAGACAGTGTTGTCAAAGGCTGGGATTCAGGAGTCCTGGGTCCTACTCCTAGCTCTGCCACTGAGTCACTGCCTGACCTGGGGCAAGTCCTTTTTCCCCCCCTCTGTGACCCAGGTCAGGGGCACCGAAGTAATGTTAGTGCTGGTGTTTGGGAGTGAGCGGCAGGGCTTGGCGCTGTTAGCACAGAGCAGTGTCTGATGGTAACTGTCTGATCTCGCCCTGCAGTCTCAGTGGTGCCTCTCCGTTCTTGGGTGAAACGAAGCAGGAGACCCTGACGAACATCTCCGCCGTGAACTACGACTTTGACGAGGAGTATTTCAGCAACACCAGCGAGCTGGCCAAGGACTTTATCCGGCGCCTGCTCGTCAAAGATCCCAAGTACGAGACCAAGTATCAGGGGGTAGCCGTGTTAGTCTGTATCTACAAAAACAACAAGGAGTCTGGTGGCACCTTAAAGACAGATTTATTCGGGCATAAGCTTTCGTGAATAAAAACCTCACTTCTATAATTATAATGCCTGCATCTGTAACTTTCACTCTATGCATCCGAAGAAGTGAGGTTTTTACTCACGAAAGCTTATGCCCGAATAAGTACGAGACCAGTTGGTTGAAACGAACCGCGGGGAGCGAGGCTTGGGGACGGTCTGCTGGGTGCCCAGCACTGCCCCCTGCCAGCAGCCTCCAAAAGCCCCAGCCTCCCTCTCGCTGCCGTGGTGCAGTGGAAGAGCTTGGCTAACTATGTCTTAGACCATAAGTCAGCCTGAAGTGCTGTTTTCTCACGTCCGTAGCCTCGGACAGCTCTTCTTATCTGCCGTCAACAGGGTCCAGTCTCGCACAATATCCTCAAAGCAAAAATATCTGCCGCTCCAGGTGTGCAGGTTTAATGGGAGCCATTGGCCTGGCTCTCGTCTCTCCCGGACGATAGTCTGTTACCAGACTGCCGTTGCAGTATCTCTGGAAGCCAGCTCCCCTCTGACGGGGATCCTGCACTTAGCAGAGAAGCTAGCTCGCCTGGGGCAGCAGTTGGGTCCACAAGGCAGGAAGGCAAATAATTACAGTACAGCGTGTGTCGGGTCAGCTGATTTGACGGCTGGCGCTTGGTGGGATTAAAGCAGAGGCTGAGAAGAACTGGTCCAGCTCTCTGCGTGCGGGTGTCATCTGAAAACTAGTGACCCAAGTGGGCCAAAAGCTCGGTCCAGCTGCTGTAGTCTAATGCCCAGACCTAATGTCGTTGCAGGAAGCGGATGACAATTGCCCAGAGCCTGGAGCATCCCTGGATTAAGGTAAAAAAATCCATAAATTCTTGTGGCCTGGCTCGGTTTCCCAAAGATACCGAACAGCCCAACTCCCACGGATGGGAACAGCGTGCACTCAGCCCCTCTGGAGAATCCGGCATCTAAAAATTGCTCTTTAAATTGCACTTGGTATCCCCCTTTAAGCAAGAGGTGGTTGCTTCTCATTCACTCCGCCAGCCTGGAGAGGTCTAGCAGCTGTGATGACTTGGTCTAGAGGGAGCTGATTCCTCACCAACCTTGAAGCAGGGGTGGGGACAAAACAATCTGGAATTCTCTACAGTCAGGGGAGTGGGGGACCGGTGGCCATGTCTCCATCAATATTGGCTTGCACCGTGGAGGTAGGGGAACCGCACTGTGTGTGGGCTGGCTCTGAACCATGCACGAAGTGTAGGGTGTGAATGCAACTGCCGGGCTTGCTGTTGGCCTGCACTGCTACAGACTAGGGACCGAGTGGCTAGGCAGCAGTTCTGCAGAAAAGGACCTAAGGGTTACAGTGGATGAGAAGCTGGGTATGAGGCGCACGGGTGCCCTTGTTG